CTATGTGTGTGTGTGTGTGTGTGTGTGTGTGTGTGTGTGTGTGTGTGTGAGAGAGAGAGAGAGAGAGGCTACCTCAGCAAAGTTTGCAAGTTTTGCAGGGTTAGGTCTTCCCATAGCAAATGTATAGGACTTCTTTCCCGCTCCCTCAATCAGTTTTTTCAGGTGATAAATCATATGCAGATAACCAGCTGCATTACCATGTAACACCATGAGTACACAAGCTAGAGAACCATACAAAGTGGAAGTTATCATTAAGAACCCATATAAGGAGCTCGCAATGACTAGACTATGGTGCTATTGCCCATATAGACACAAATACTATGCGAGTAGGAAATTATTATTCCATGCTCTCATTTCTATTATAAGGAAATTGATTTTTCCATGTTCACAACTGAGCGAGTTCGTAGAAATTATCAAGAACTTATGACACTTGAAAAGCATACTAATACACTTTAAAGAAAGAAAGAAAAGAAAAAAAAGGGCAAATTTCCATAAAACAACTGACAATTCAATAGTGGGCCTGTATATTTTGCTGTACATGTATATGTTTTTCTCCCTTGGGAGCAAATTGTACCTTGCTCCTATGGGCAAAACAACTGTGTACGGGTGTCTCTTTTGATCCGAAAGTTTGCAGAATATCTTTGATTCACCTAGTGAACAATTTCCCAAAATAAAAAAATCAATTTCTAGTTCTTACAAACCCAGATCTGATTGTTCATGAAATGAAGGGGCTGCTTCCCTGTTGGAGGGGGCATTCATTTGAATCCATTTTTTTTTTAATATGTTGACTGTATTAAACTCAAAGTGAGTACAGAATGTGTGAAAAGAGGGGAGGCAGGATACCCACAGACGAGCTCCGCCCAAAAAATAGGCTACCCACAAACAGGTGCCCTGTACAAAACCATGGGTAGATAAAAAATGCTTTACATGAATTGAACCATTAAGTATATCAACTCCAATCTGTGATAGCAAACCAAGCAAAAATCCCCTAGGGGTGGCTCAAGTTGGCGTGGGACAATCAATTTATTCTTTTTGATTGATCACTGAGAAGAATAAAGATGATCTGAAACTTTTAGGGTCAAACAAATTATCTTAAACGTTTGGCCTGTGGGATTAAGTCCACAATTTTCTACCACTGGAGCATGAAAACATCTTTCTTCTAGAATTTTCATATTTGTCGGGGAGATGGAGAGAGATGAGTGAACCTACCAACACCAAGTGTACCCACCAAGATCCCGACAATATTTGCATCTTTTGCTTTCTCCACAAGGAAGTATCTGCAGAAAAAGAACATCGAAATAAGTCACTTTTAACTGAACAAGACAATGGGTATCCCGAAAATGCCAATGACTTAGAGGATCAATTGATCAAATAATTTCCACACTTTGGTATGTTCATTAACTGTAACCAATGGCAATAATATACAATCAGTGGCAGGCTAAAAACTATACCTACGCTTGAGAATGCTTTTCTGATGACACTTGTCTTTCACCAAGCAATCTTCCATGGGGTCATACCTAACTACAGATGACAAGCATAATGTGCTAAGGTTTTATTTTAAAAACTTCCAGAAAAGGAAAGTATTCTTTCAAATAAACACAAATTCATCAAACATCATCATGAAAAATCATCTTCCATGAATTAACAGAATAGAAATCAATATAGTAAAGCTGTTCTACTTTCGAGTATCACCAATTTGTAATTAAGAGAGGATCTCAAAAAGCTTAAGTAAGCATGTTAATAACTATTTTACATTTTAGGCATAAACGCATATGACGCTCACATTCTCACCCAGATGAAAATGATGCAATGACTGTCCATTTTTATGTTTTAGTGAATAGTTTCCTATCAAAAAAAGAGAGAATTCGTTCCCCTAGAGGATAGTTCAGACATCTCAAGTAATTTCAAACCGGTGGATTCCGAAAACTCCTTTCTTTATTTTCTCTTATTAAATTCTCTGGTTGGGAGACAAAATGGTACAACAGTCACTAAATTTTCAAGAAAACAAATGAAAAAGTGATAAACATGCATATTCCATTAAAGATAAGAATCCTAATCCAGACAATGGCAAGAAATGATGCAAAATATAATAATCATGAAAGTAACTGATCAAAACAACAAACCGTTAAACTATGGGAAGCATGACAAGAACTTAAAGTGAATCAAAGTGCTACTATCAAAGAAGAGAAAGTATAATATGATACATCAAAGTGCTACTATCAAAGAAGAGAAGGTATAATATGATACATCAAAGTGCTACTATCAAAGAAGACAAAGTACAATATGATACAAATAACAATAAAAAGCTACAATAATAAGTGTCATCACCATACAACCATTGGTTGAATGAGCGATGAGAGAGAAGAGAGAGAGAGAGAGATACTTGATTGATCTCATGCTCTGCTGGGGCCCACTCAGCCTCCATCCATTGATAGGATAAACTGAGCGATGAGAGAGAGAGATACTTGATTGATATCATGCTCTGCTGGGCCCCACTCCCACTCACTCTCCATCCATTGATAGGATAGAGACGACAATGATGACCATAGCCTTTCTATTATCACATGGAGCATAATATACTTTCACATCAAAAAATTACTATTGGAGAAAAACAAATACTAAACACCCTACATTTAAAGAAGGAAATTATACCATAATCTAATGAAGTATGTAAAACCATGGTCAACTGAGATCATCCCAGTCCTATTAAATGACGAACAGTCATGGAGAGAGATTGGGACCCACCAACTGGAACACATCCCATTCTGCTAGGACTGAGTCTCTCTCCATCATTGTACATTATTTCATGGGATGATGTTGACTACAGTCTCAACATAGTCCATTTGATTATGGTAAAGCATTCCTTTAAGCAATATATTTCCTGTTTTTAATCAATAAGCAATCCCTTCCCTAGTTGAGCTCATGTAAGGGAAAATATACCTATTTCACAAGCATTGTATGTAAGTACGATATTTCCAAAAGCTGGATTATCGGGACCAATCCAGAACAACAAGTAGTCTTCCATCTTGCCCCCATGAGGTAAAGTCCATCTCAAACCTCCAAGGCTATAGCTGCCACACCCTTCAAATGAATCACAAGGGTCATGACAATCCACAAATTCAGGCTGCCCAGAAGAACTATTTGTACTACTATTCTTTTCTGGATGCATAACTGAACATTTGGCTTCTGCATAAAGGATCTTTGACCTGCACCCACTTAATGCTGATGATTTCAAGCTCATTTCTTCTTTAACACTACCAATAGCATGTTCATATTCCAAACCAAAGATAACCTGCATCAACATGCAAATGTTAAAAGATCACAACCTCCGAGAAATAGTAGAGGAAAATCGGATAAATAAAAAACAAAAGTTACATTGCGAAATAAATTTCAATCATTTTAAGCAAAAGTCCAAAAACAAACAAGATTAGAGAAATTTAACCAACCAACAATTCAGACAAATAAAAGCACTGAATGGAATTTAGTTTGGCCCAGTGATATAAAACATGGACTCGAGCCCGGACTTGCCAGGGTTCCGAGCCCAAGTCAGCCAGTAGAGTCTCTGTGAAAATAACACAGTAGGGTCCAGAACACAATGAGACTTGGGAAAGTCCTGAGGTATCAGAACCTGAATTCTGCCAGTCCAAGCAATGCAGGCAACGGGTACACCTCGTGAAGTATTAAATCGCTGGTAAGGTCCATCACCTATTATTTTGGCTAGATCATTCCAGGTAGAGATTTGATCGCTTAAAAAGCTGTCTCTACTATTTTGAACTGGTCATTTCTAAGTATTCATTTGCTCAGAAAAATTGGGCAGCCCAATAAAGTACACTCCACTTTAGAAGGTAATAAGTTTACTAAACCGAAGAAAAGTACAAAAGGCCATCATCCTGAATTAACACTACCACCCCCACCTCATCCATGCCTTCTGAACTAAATGCAGACATCTAAGTCACAAAAACTTTTTGCAAGATTGTGAAATAAGCTCCATTGAAGTTTGCAGTGTCTCTTGCAATAAGTGTTGCTTGCTAGATCCCTCCCGCATCTCATAATTTTGTTCACTCTTTGTCTGAGCCAAATAATGCTAAAGCAAATTCCAGAAAAACAAGGAAACTTCATCAAAGAACCCAATATGTAAGAATAACAACATAATGTAATAAAAGGTTATTCCCCTCTAAACCTCAACATCAACTTTACAATTTCACATGTACCATGAATGTTTCAAAGTCAGCGTACCATGAATTTCTAATACATGATCGACTAGTTAACCACTGAATTGTCTCAAAAACATCACCCAAGATATAGCTTCTAAGTGCATAAAGATAGGCATTGCCATCATTTGAATCCTTTTTAAGATTTACAACTATTATGAACACAAAAACATGCAAGGTGGGAACATTCCTAAAACTTATAATCTGCATAGAAATAATTAATTTTCAATGATTCTCATCCAAAAATCATAAAAAGTGGAAGGATGGGAATGTACCAGAATGGGCTTGTCACTAGAGGACAAGCAATCAAATAAAGAATCTGCACAACCTTTGACATTGATCGAGGCTTTGCCAAAGACAAACCATGCAGGCAACTTTGAGGTGCTGTCAAGGACAAGATACATCACTTAGTCATATTTAATACAAAACGAAACCATACTATTACCAAATAGACTATTCGAAAAAAATAGTTCAAAGAGTCATCACCACCCATTGCAATGATGGAGTGATCAAGAGAGAGAGGGACCAACAATTGGGGTCACGTACACTTATGGGTGTACCACTCTCTATCCATCACCATAGGTCGTTACACTTGATGGAGATGACCCTGATGGACACGGTTTCCCATGCTCCATTGGATCAAGTTCTCATGTACTTTCACTTGAAACAGGGTATGCCCACCACACAAAATTAAGTGCACCACAAACCTAGCACTATCATTTATAGGAAACTCTCATTTATAAGAAACTTACGGGCTTAAGCAAGTGGGTCCATAATGCACTACACACTCTGCGTTGACATGAGAAGCTCCAACCTCATCCACACAACAATTACCATAGGTGGTATCGGCCATGACATATAGTTGAACAAAGGCTTGTGCCAGGTTTGCCTCATGTAAATTTTCAGGTGGGCAGAGAGATAAGGACTGGAGTTCCTCCCTCAAAGCAGCCACAATCCTCCTTGAGTCTTTTAAAAGCTCATCAGGAAACTGCATACAGTTTTCATGTCCCATAGGTTACATAAGATAGCATTTCTAATACAAATTATCCAAAACCAGAGTCAGAGAGGAATATATGAACATGCAATATTGACAATGTTCAATCACTTATATCAACAGTAAGAAAAAGAGAGTCCAAATTATTAAAGTTTCGAACACTAACTTGACTAGAAAAAGGAAAATTACTATGGTAGTTTAGAACAATCTCATTCATCTCCAGGAAAATAGGTAGCATGGGCTATTAAATAAAAGTATTGTAACAAGCTTTAAAGTATTGTAACAAGCTTGGAGAAAATCTGAATGTCAAAACAACACTATTAAATAAAGTATTGTAACAAGCTTGGAGAAAATCTGAATGTCAAAACAACATAAAACCCGCACATTACTTGCACCAAAACCTATGCTGATATGCCAAGTAACAGATAATGCAATATCCGCCAAGATGGGATGGTAAGGCACCCTTCCATAAACTACCCCATTTCACCAACTTTAAAATGATGAATTGGTGAGAAGATTATTCTTATGAAAATGATGGGCTTGAACACATCCTTAATTATCGAAGAACCTTAATGTAAAACTAATGGCTTCTTAGCAAAATTCAAACCCAACAAGAGATTATTAAAGACTACTGCCTTCTCTTCTATATTTTAAGTTTCTGGATCATTGAACTCCCCTACTGCAATTCCTCTAAACTCCCCCCAAAGGGGGCCAAATGGACTATGATCCATCTTGAAGGTTAAAGCAGTGCTTTTTTTTCATTATTTTTTTCTGGTAATAAAGTGACCAAAACACAACTATGTGATTCATTCCAATACAATAACTCCACATAAATTCAGAACCAAACACAGCAATTACACCTTTCTATTTTGAAATGCAAGGGGACCAAAATACAACTAGGTGATTCAATTTAACACCATGATTCCACATCAATACAGAACCAAATAGAGCAATTAAACCAGTGTTACAGGACTCGCCTGAGTCCATTTGGCCTTGGGCGAGTAACTCGGCCTTGCTCTAGTTGTGTGTATAACTTAGGGTATGTAAAAAAATTCAAAAAAAACCAAAAAGTTGTAAAAAAAAAATGGTTATCCTGTATAAAATTTTTTAATATGATTTAGATTTTTTGCATAGATTGTTTATTGTTTTTTGCCATAATCCATATTTTTATATTTTCTTTTTTTTGGATTTTTTCAAATGTCCCCCAACTATAAACCATCATCAACATAGCCTTATCCCAAGTATTTGGAGTCAGCTACATGAATCCTATTCCACCATTCTGCTCTATAGGACATACCCTTAGTAAGAGCATAAGTCCCAACCATAAATCAATTTCTTAAATACATATTTTATGTACTTTTTTAAGCATATTTGAACTTTCAAAGGTTGCTTCTGATTTTATTTACTTTTAATACTTTTATTTTATTTTTTCATACTTTTATACTTTTAAATTTTTTTCTAGGGCTTTTTGGCCAGGTACAGGACTCGGCTAAGTGAGTCACGTCGGGGCGATCTTCTAAACACTCAATCAAACTAAATATCATGGAGCTTGATGACTAAACCCTTAAAATAATGTATTACTAAACAAAACACACTATTCAAGCTTCAATAAAAATGAGACCCTAATTCCATGTCTGTAATGATAGCCCAAAAAAATAAAAAAAATAAAAAATCAACAAACTAATCTACAATTTCACGTGATGGTGAATCAATCATGAACAAAACCAATCATGAGAAAACCATCAACACAACTGAAATTATAAATAAACAAGAGTACACAAATAAATAAACAAATATACCTGTAGTGCAACTCTATGGAAACCTCGATTTTTAATGAATTCGGCAGTGCGAGCAATGTCAAATTTGGAATTGAAGTCCATTCCTTAACTGAAATCTGGTCCAAAATCTTCCCAAAACTATAATTTTTTCTCAGAAAATTAGTATAATCAGGTGAAGATAACAGTTTTAAAGTTACGGGGAAGCAAAACCCAGATTACTAAACCGATGATTGGTAATATATCAGGTTGAAATAACCTAAAAAAAGTAACCGTTTAAATGAAAAATAGTGGGAAATACCTTAAAATTAGAGAAAATTCATTAAGACATGGGCGTGTGGGAGCAGCTTAGAGTCTTACAGCTTGGGTCACGTTTAAGGAGAGCGGAATATGAATAATATTAGGACGCGGTTAGCATGCGGGACCAGGCCCGCTCATGTAGAAATTCGGGCGGCTTAATAAATCTACTTTTCACATGGATTTTTTTTACTTAATTTTTAATGATGAGTAATATATGGAGATCATGACTATAAAAAATAAATAAATTTTAAAAATTATAAATAATAATTCTAGTAAAAAAACATTTCAACTATTTATTTCAAATATTTTTAGTTGGACCACATATTTGCATCCATCTTTAAAATGAAACAATTTTCCATAATGTTATTTCACTTTTCATTTACCGCGGGAGTAAATGGATAGTATATATCCGAGGGAATAATAGATTCCATACTCATTGGGTAAAACCCCATATAAATTTAATTTTTAAAAGAAAAAGTTTATATAAAGCCGAAGCTCTAATCAATTAAATTAGAGACCACCTCAGAAAATTTACTAGACGATGTTATTTTGATGCCCAAATATCATCACATTGATCATCTCGACACCAAGATGCATAGACATGAAAAAAAAAAAAGGGATTTCAAGTTTTGGAAATAGAGCATCTTGTAATGCATTTTTGGACCGTCAATTTTTCAAATTTTCATGTTTTCATATATCCACTCGATCTACATTATTTTTTAAGCTTTAAACTTCATAATTAAATTTGAAAATGTATTTTAAGGCTATTATAAAGATTTCAATATTGAAATCACATCTCTCGGCACTATTTGAAGGTGTGCTTTACTTCGATTATTTAGAGCCTCGACCCTACGCAAACCGCACCCATTTTTAAAACCCCAAATTTGAAGATTTAACTTCCTCCACCCTTAGCACAAGAAAAATAATTTCCTAATTGCACCTTCTATATACTCTTAAAAAAAAACAATGTCTCAAGCCTAGAGATTGTCCAATTTTTTGATAGTGAGATCTAAGTATTAGGAAGCTTAAAAATCAATTTTTTTTTTTTTTGTTCTTGCCAGGCTACAAAAAAATATTGAGATTGTATACTATGAGATATTTTATCTTTATTATAAGGTGGTCACAATTGTTACTGGCCGTTAGATGTTAAATTCGATAGCTTGGGGGTGTCATAAAGTTTGGCATTATTTATTT